ATATACGTATTATTCATAAATAAATTAGAACGGTCGAAATTCTTGAAATTGATTAGTTTTTTTGTAGTAAGATAGATTCATTTTTCGAGCACAACATATCAGTTTTTGTATAGATACAGTAGTTATAACGAACAAGATTTAATGTAACTCAAAACTGTTTGTATGTCATTCTTCACTGAAAATAACAACTCTGATCATGATCAAAAGATTATCTGCTCATGTTTCCTTCTAATTCAATCAACTTTAGACCTCTATAGCTAATTTCTCATGAATGATTAAGACAGAGCATTTTTGGGAAGTCAAACTAATGAATAATTCTTTTGCTTTTATTTCTTATAAATAATAGCTACTTCTGTGAATACATTTGAAACAGTTACTTCTGACTAGTCAAATAGAAGGTTGAAAACTCAAAGCTTGTGTAAAAGTCCTTGTGTGTACGATTTGTACTAGTAAAACGAATGCACTGAAAATCCAGCAAAGTCTTTTTTTTGACAATAATTTAATATTTTTGAAATGGTAGTTTATTGCATCGCATACGATACAGACAATTTAACTGTAACGTAAGTTCTTTTTCTGAGTTCATATATCATCCAATTGATCCACAGTTTCATGTCATACTAGTAAAATTAGTTTTTATTTGTAAAATGAGCTGTAATCATTGGATTAATATAACCTCAAATATGATTCCAAGTGATACGTCTAGCACGTAATCGACACTTCGAAAATGCCATTACTGTACAGTGATTCCATGCAAGATATTTGACTAACGTCGGAGTTCAGAAAAATGCTTTTAGTGAAAGACAACAGTGCAGATGCAGCTCATTCAATATGATCCATGCTTTGTTCGATTAATCAATTTCTGAAAGAGATCTATAGAATTACGAATAACGTAGATTATTATCAGCTGATTGAGTCTTGCCTGAGTTGAGAAAAAATTATGACGGATTATAGCTCTGAAATGACCATTAGTAACTACAGTATAGATAACTGCTACTTGTTTTCGTGATCTTAAAAATTTGTATAAAATACTAGCTAATATTTCTCACCAATATTGAATATTCATCTGAAGTAATTGTTTCTCAGGAGAATTACAGATATAGCTTCTTTTTTTCTTGTTGTATTTTTGAAACTATAAAACGTTTTTTCCTTTTTACTAAATATCAATTAACTCGTATCTAAAACTCTCAAACAAATTAGTATTTTTATTAATCATATTAGATTGTTTGTTTTCTGCTGTCGACTTATTTCAATAGACTGAATCTATTTGTATTTTCTGTTCTGCTTTTCAATGGTACAATCCATGAAAGAGAGCACGGAAGTAAGAAACGTAAAGTACGATGTCTGCTCTAAAGAAATAGATCGTTTTCTTCTTGTACGTACATGCTCTATAGATATTCAGTGATATTTTCGAATAATTGAAAGAAATATTCTTTTTTATCTATCTTTTAAACGTATATTTTATTTTTGCCCATTGATTTTTAGGTTTTTATCATGAACAATCTCGCTTCGACCGCGATGATTATGTCCGAATCAAATTGGAAAACATACTATCAGGTAGTACTGATGTTTTTAAATTAGAATTGACTTTTGCCATAAACAAACGACTTCTTTCAGGTTATGAAAGAAATTTTCAAAAATATAATACTACACAAACGGATACGCTGAATACACCATATGACTATAGATCGGTAATGCATTATGAAAGAGACGCATTTTCGAGTAATGGCCGCGCAACAATTGAACCAATTCAACCGAATGTTGAAATTGGACAACGTTATAATTTAAGTACAATCGACATACAAGAAGTTCAACTGTTTTACAATTGTAGTGCAACTGGTGTCCCATTACCGCCCCCAGGTAATGAGATTTTACATATTGTTTATGTAGATCACAAGATCACGATATTCATAATACGAGTAACTTGTGCAGGAAGAATGAGTTCTACACACGAAAACTGAAAATACAAAGAGAAGATTGCACTATTGAAGAATGAATCTAATCATAATCTCGTTACTTCAACTTTTACATGCATAGACTAGTCAAGAAAAAACTATAGAATCGAGCTAGGAAAATTAATAGTAACTAATAGTTCACCTTTGTTAGCGGTATACAGTAGTTGTATGACTATTTCAGCTGTTCGAACTGATAAAACTCGAGCTGTTACATATTAAATTTGACATTCTATAGGCAATCAAGTGTTGGTATTGAATAAGAAAAGAACGTATATGAGTATAATATGATTTTATTGTATCTCACAATCGACTATAGAATATCGAATAGGGCATATCGTGTTATTTAGCAGACTCATATAAATTCTGTTCTGATAGTTTTCATAGTAGAACTCCGAGCATATATCGAAATTGTGAGATGTTTAAAATTCTTAAAGAAGAATCCAGATATCAAAGCATAAATGAGAACGTCTCATATTAAAGAAGTTAATGTACCTGCCTTCGTACCTGAATCATACATGTGTGTGTCTGACTTTTATTAAAAGTGGCTTCAGTTCACGAACTAAAATGTAGCATATTTTATCGCTTAAACATAGTCTACAATTAAGCTACCGTCATGTGTGTCTAACAACGTGACCTCTGGGTTTTGTTGAGAATTAAATGAAAATCGATGCCCTCTTTTCTTCTCTCTCCCTTCTAAGCCGAAGAGGCAATGTTTAACACACTAAATTAAACCGAGTGTGCACCTTAATTTTGTAGAGTTGTATCCAGAAAACATGTCAATGACTTGTCCAAACTTCGTGCTTCCACTGCTATGTCATCGTTGGCCTCTACAACGATAGAAAACATTGTGTTGTCAGATAAAAATTAAATTTATTGATTAAAACATTGCCAGTAAAACACTTTTTAGTTGTTGAATTATTACTGTAGTATCATTCAATACTCAATGAAATATGCAATACATATGAAAAACAAATACGTTGTTCAACATATCGATTCACGATAATGAATACGATAACTAAATTTATCAAGTGAACACTTGTTTATAGACTTCTTAGGAGTAAAATGAGTACTAGAAAGAAAAAGTTTTGAGGCAAAATTCAAATTATACAATTGCAGATCACTGAGATCAACAGTTCCAATTTTTTTTGATAAAATCTACTTCGAACAGTCATCCTATAGTTCGATATAATATCAGCATGTTACCAGTTCCAAAATCATGTTTGTTTTCATTTCGAAATAGTGAATTTGACCTTGGTCAATACAACGTATTCATCTGCATTGACAACATCAAGTCAAGCATATTCTCGTTATAACGGAATCATGGGCAATAATTCCTACTTCTACGAACTTCTCCAAGTGACTCCTACAACAGCTGGTTCTTATACTTTCGTGAGTGTCAGCAATATTGACACATATGGTTTCTTCTATAGTCCTAGTTTTAATGCTCAATCTCCATCAGTGAATTTAGTAGCATATAATGATGATTTAGGTGGGAATTTACAATTTCTATTGTCGTATTATATGCAACTAGGTGTAACTTATTACATCGTTCCAACAACGTACAGTCCGGGTGTGACTGCACCATTTACAGTAGTGATTTCTGGCCCTGCACGAGTTCGTATTACTCGCATCAACGTTAGATCAAATAACGCAAGTGAGTTGTCCAACAGTGATCATGTTGCTTTGAGGGCTCACAATAGCATCCCCATACCTGAACCTTTTCAATTCAATGCATGTATCGATAGCAAATTATTTAAGAAAAGTTTCAAAGAGTATTTAATGATATGAACGGCTACATGCATGGAAAGAGTGTTTCCTTTATCAAGAAGATTGTTCTTTATCCTTCACTTCTTCTGTTTGATTTTCGTATCGCTGACTATCACGAAGCATCCAAAAACAAAGCACATCATAAATGGCTGGTTCCTGCCATGTGGACTTTGTACACGTCATCATCTCATGAGCATGAGAGTTCGAGAATATTGTTGCAAGAGTCTGAACAATTTTTTTCTTACGGACAGCTCGAATATTCATATAGCCAATTGAAGTAAGGACAGTGATAATGGTCCACTAGTTTCGGCTTAGAAACGCATCTTTATATGAAATCAATATAAAAAAGAGATTGATATATTTATGATTAGTTTCAGAAGATAAATTCATCGTCTTATAGTTGAGTATTTGCACGTGCTTCATTCAGTGACTACGATATTAATATTAATAATTAACAGTATTATAGATTTATTTTTAATACTACTGAGGGTTCTAAAATGTGAGTGGAGTGAAAATTTGGCTAATTGCCAACTATGCAAGTGAAGAAAGGATAGAATTTATAGATTAATATAGGTGAGGATATGGATATTGTTGGAACTTTCGTCTGCATGGCCACACTGAAAACCTTTATATTCTTGAGTGTATCGGCAGCCCTCTTAATCATATCAGCTGGAAAGATATAAACCCTCATTGTAAATACTCTTGATATTAAAAGAAATTTCCTGCCCAACCCAACACAAGACAACCTAATGCAGTATTTATGTATCTTAAAATTAATTTTCTCTGCTCATATCTCATGAACGGATCTGTATCTACATGAAATTTTTGAAATAGTAAATTCATTTGGATTTCTTGGGAGATGGAACTTATAATGTGGTTCCATTTTCTTTTGTTTCTATATGAAATTCCTTCCGCAGTTTCGACTTCACTCTATCAGCCCACTGTGATCTTATATAAAATAATTTCGTGTAAAATGTCACCAAACTTTCTTTATGAATATCATCTTTATTCATAGTTAATACAACGTATTCATCTGCATGGACGACAACGAGTCCAAAATATTCTCGTCCATTCGTAATAACAGGCAGCAATTCCTATTTCTACGAACTTCTGCAAATAACTCCGACAACAGCTGGCAATTATACTTTCATGAGTGTCAGTAATATCGACACATATGGCTTCTTGTATAGCCCCTATTTCTATGTTCGATATCCATCAGTGAATTTAGTGGCATATGATGATGATTCTGGTGGAAATGTACAGTTTCGATTTTCATATTATATGCAACTTGGTGTCACTTATTACATTGTTTCAACAACATATAGTTCGGGTGTGACTGCTGCATTTACATTAGTGATTTCTGGCCCTGAACAAGTTAATATTACTCGTGTCATAGTTCCTGAACCGGTGCCACTTGTGCGCTGCCTTGGATTTCTCAACGATCCAATATGTCCAAGTAATTAGTTTGTGCTCATTCTTAAACGGAGTATACCATCGAATAACTTTGTCCTGTATTTTTCGTTGTATAGAGTTTTTATTGGTAGCATACATGGATATTCTTGAAAATGCAAATTGTTTGAGACTATTAGAAGAAGTTTTGTTGAGCAACCTTTAAATCCTTGGTTAGAGTGCCACACACATGATCCATGAATGAATCATAGTAGACCGTGAATGAATATACAGTTGTCCGAATCTTCATTTTCGTTGACGAGTTTTTGGAGGCAGAGTCGAATGAATGTCAGAAATGTTACTTTGTGTAATGTAAGCGCTCGTTATATACTTGTACGAGCGGTTATTGAATAGATACTGTAATGAAATGAGAAGATTTGAAATAGTAACATCAATTTTTATAAAATCCTCATGCCTTCCTAAAAAAACGAGGTTTGCAATTATTCATAATTCTAGGGAATTCGTGTAGAGTTTTCATTTGAATCCAGCTAGAACTGAAGCCTTTGTCAAAATAAATGATGATAGATAAATTCTGAGTGTTTGTGAAACTGTAGCATGAAGTTTGTGGCGAAGCGTATAGTTATCACTAGAGAAATTTTTTAATGATCAAAACACTATTTGCATTCATCTCTTTTTTTTCGAAATTATGTACTCAATTCATACATTCATACACAGTTATTTAATCATAAAAGTATACCAATATAGGAAAACAATGTGTCTTAAACTAAGTAATCATTCCTTTGAAAAGTAGTGCGCCATATTCTGATGATACGTATTTCTTCGATGAAATTTTTGTGATCTGTCATTATTTATTGTATTTGAAAGAAGAAAGCCCGAAACAGGTCATTGTTTTGAGATTCGATAAGCAATTTTAATATACAATTTTTTGAAAATGAAGATCTCTGAAAAACAAAGACCTTAAATCAAGGTTTCAGAATTGAATCAAAAACGTTTTGCGTAGAATGTCATCTCAGGAAAAATATCTCTTTGTATACTAAAGTATCCTGAACTTCCCACAAACATTCTTACTCTAATTGAACTCAATCTAGGAAGTCGAAAATCATTTTTCAGTTGTTTGTTTCAAAAAATTTTATAAATTTGATTTTTTGAAACTCGGCATCCTCTTGTCAATTGAATGAAGATAGGTGAAGAAAGGATTACAGAGTAAAAGAATATTTTATTTGGCTTACAAGTGATTTTAAAATGGGATGAGCCTTGAAGAAAAGTGTTTTCCCTAAGACTAAGAAAACTGGCTTTCAGGCCTTGGTTTTTGTGCAATGTTTAGCTGCATCTCGGTTAAAAAGGAAATTACTTTTAGCCACTAAGTTTATTTCAAAATTTTTCTTAGATATTCTGCTCAAGAAAAAAAGTTCAAATCTATATATTCTTAACTTTTTCTCCACTTCACGCAAGATGTACACCATATTTTGATTGTTTAATGTATAAATGAAACATAAATTAATCTCATCAAAATGTTATTCTAAAACTATATTTTAGATGGGCGTTTCCTAGTGGAAATCCTTGATATTTTCGTGCCATATCCTTAACGAATTCAATCAGAATTCTTCAAGAATTCTCTATTTTTTCCTGAGGAAACGACTAAATCTTGAAATAAGTGTGTAGCCACAGAATTTCAAGGTCCTACCAGGGTTCAAAGCAGAATCCTGTGCAATTTTCCATAGTTTTTTGGATCAGGATTCTGCTAGGGTATTAATGATTCCGAATCGAAAAAGAAATTCCTGTCTACATGATGCCAGATTTTGACAGGTTTCCTCGAGGGTGTTATTAGATTTCTTGGCAGTATCTTTGCAGGATTTTCTAAACAGAATAGAAATTAAATGAACACATAGAGTATTGATCTCTAGACCTTCAGTATACATGCCGATCAGCTCACCAAACTGGATTGCGTCATATTACTGTATGGAACTTCAACATTCGATATCTTAACTCTGATTTATATTCAAATTTCTACTCGAGTTTTATATGAATAAAAATTCTCTCAAAAAAAATTTTTTTCGTGCAATATCGTTCCAAATGTTTTTTTAATTTCCATTCGACTTCAAAAAAAAAGATATAATTTTTGTAATGCATAACTGAAACTAAGAACAGCTTCCACCGAAAAATATACCACACACTAAAAATAGCTATTCAGCGAAAAAAATATAGTGATAATCAAATTGAAATCGACACCCTATATTTAATAATTTTTTAAACTATATTTTGGAATAAAAATATAGCGAAACCTCGTTTTCATGGAGCGAATCACACATCCAGATCAATAACAATCTCGAAAAGATGTACAAAGAAAAGATATTGTAATATTTTGATGGAATCCCTTCATTTATTTGTAATAAGTTCCGGATCATCATCAGGATTATATTTAGTACTTTAATGAAGGTCCTTAATGTTTCGATACCAGATCTTTTACGGGCCCAATGAGGATCCTGAAAAGATTCGCTCTTTTCTCCTAAGAAAACGACTAAACCCGGAGCAAAGTGTGTAGCCACGGAATTTGAAGATCTTGACAGGATTTCAACTAGGACTCAATCAGAAACTTGGCCAATTTATCACTTGGTTTAAAATTAAGAAGTGGTTCTGAAAACCATAATTGCTGAGATAAATGTGTAGCCAGACAATATTCCAGATTTTGACCGGATAGGCACGAATTGCATGGGTTTGGTGTGCGTATCCGTGCGGATGTGAATGTTTCTTAAGATTCTCCTCTGCTTTAGCCACAATTCTTGACCGGATTCTCATTTTAGATTCCAGAACAAATCCTGACTAGAACTTGATAAAACCTTGGCAGACGCCTGTCTGCTATTCCTGTCAGGATCCTAGGTAGGATCGAGTCTGAGTCCTGATAGGATCCTACATTCCTAATTTAGAAAAAATCTTGGCAGGATCTTGAGAAAATCCTAAAAAGGATCCTGTTTAATTGTACGAAATCCTGCAAACAGGAATCACTAGGATTTGACATAGGATCTTGAATACAACTTGGTAAGATTCTTGACTTTTAGGATCCTGAGAGATCCTTTCAGGATGTCTCAAGGAGTGAATAGAATTGAGACTAGGGTTACTTTTTCCAAAGAATTATACTAACACGTGTTTATATATTTTTCTTTTAGTTCAACTCGCTAGAAGTGGCACAGGTAAGACATTTAATTTGTTAATAAGACAATTCTGCGTTTGTATATTTCAGTTCGTACTCATAATCCCAATCGTATTTTAAATGGTGGATCGTTTGCTGTCAATAAATTGTTTTTCAATCTCGAAGATCCAATGACAGTGAATGCCTATGTTCGAATAGTAAAAATTCAATATGGACAAGGACGATATCCGAGTTCAACAGCTCAAATCTGGATCTATGGTATTGTGCCTGTAGGTGGTAGCTATATCGTTTGCAGTCAATATCCTATTCCAGCATCACAAATATCAACAACTCAAGCAGAACAAACATATACAATTCCGAATAATGTCATTAATCTTTTCAATGGATCATATGTTGGCATTGGTATTCAGGACTCATTGGCAGCCGTTGCAACAACGTACAATGGATTTGTTTTGTATGTGAATGGTGCCGATCAAACAACGAATGTTGCTACGCGTGAATCATTGTATTTTCAACCTGATGGTAATAGAATTGGTGTTAAACTTACTTACACAACAGTTAATTAAAATAGCTTTCATATATTATTAAAAAAGACTAACTTTATTTAATCAAGATTATATTGGGCAAAAGCTTAAGCACTTTTGTGAAATGTATTGTTTTCTTCTTGTAATTAAATTAACTCAATTATCTATCCTGCTTTCTTTCCTTTAATAAAATTTTTTTTAATCAGGGAACTTTTTTTTCAAATTTAAATATATATTTAAATTCTATTTTGCATTCTTAAATAAACCATCGACATTTTTATCATATTTACACTGTTTCCGAATGTTTAAAAGCAAGTGAACATACC